GATGGATGGAAGGATGAAGGATGGATGGATGGATGAACAGATAATGGTTGGGTGGGTGGATGGTGATAGATGGGTGAGTGGACAATGGGTGGATGGACGGATGGATGGATGGTGATAGATGGGTGGGTGGACAATGGGTGGGTGGATGGATGGATGGATGCATGATGGATGGATGGATGGATGGATGAACAGGCAATGGTTGGATGGGTGGATGGTGATGGACAGATGGGCGGATGGATGGTGGATGGATGTTGATGGATGGAAAGATGGATGGTGGACCAACAGACAATAGTTGGATAGATGGATGAATGGTAGATGGATGAATAGACAGAAGGAAGGGTGCTCTCTTAAGTAAGGAGAACACACTCTTCTAAGATTCAGCTTCAGAGCTCAGGGCAGATATTCTCTGCCTGGTCCCCAGAGAGAGCACTGAAAGCCCTAGAGACAAACCTCATCTACCTAAGACATATTCACTCCCTTTAGCCATATCCACACCCCGTGTGAACATCGAGGACATACACGCACATTGTCTTAGCAAGTCCTTCAAAGCCTGATCTGATTACAAATCAAGACTCAGGTTTTCAGGCTCAAACTCGCTGTCTCTGTGATGACTAAGCTACAAAGCCAGTGATGTGCTGGGGACAGATCACGCCAGCAATGGGAAGGCCATAAGCCCCGTCTTAAAATTGATGCTGCTTCTTAATGGCAGAAAATGGGAGGTGATTTAAGGAAAAGAGCAGTCATGAAAGCGGACCCAGGTCTCAGGAATTCATCTAAGCGATGTTGAGGGCTGCTTTGCCCCAGAGTAAAGCAGGCATGGGCATCGGGATGCGTTTGGGGACCCCAGAGGTGCTCTGCTGACCAGTCCCCAGCCTCTCTCCTGGCTCCATGCACCGCAGATCCCAGACCCACAGGCAGCACACGCGTACCAGTCACACGTTGCAGGTGACCAGTCCCAGCCCAGCAGTCCTGGCCCAGCAGCACTGCCCCAACTCTGTTCCCCGCTCCATGCGCCCCAGACCCCCGTGTCCCCAGCTGCACACATACCAGGCACAGGTCGTCAATGACGTGCTGCTGCTCCAGCACCTGCAGCCGCAGGAACTCAATCTCCTGCTCGTCCCGTGTCAGGCTGAGGTCATTCAGGGATGTGTGCCGCTTCAGCGAGGCCTGGGCTGACAGCTTCTCCTTCTGCAGTGGGGAGGGCACCCCAGGTTACTGTCCATGCATCCAGCCAGCCCGCCAGTGGCCAGGACACTGGCTGCAGGCTCGGGGACAAGGGTGGGATGGAGTGAGGACAGAGGGCAGGATGGAGGAAGGACAGAGCAAGGGCGGCCGCCAGCCCCCAGCCAAAGGAGTGAGGGCTGCAGGCAGATGCTGTACCAGAGAAAGGGATGGATGGGCGTTAGGGGAACTGGATGACAGGCCCGCTGCAACAGACCTGGAGAGCTGGGAGGGGAGGCCGGGAGAAGAATGACCCATGAACAGGAACTACACTCACATCCGTCTCCACTACGGTTCGAGCTCTCAGAACCGCAGTCTTCCCGGCTGTAAAATGGAGTGACTCACACTGCTTTGAACAATGAACCCAAGAGTAATCTACAAACCGTGAACGGCAAGATATCCTCCCTAACCACAAAGACGAGTTGCTCTCTCTGGAGCAAAAAATCTCTTAAGCATGGCCTTTCCAGCAGTAATCGTAACAGCTTTCACCTCCTGAGCACCCTCCAGGCACGTATTCTATCATTTCACCCTCTCAGAACCCTGCCATGTTGTGCATCCACTCCCATTTTACAGATGAGTAAACTGAGGCTTGGAGAGGTTGAAAGTCGCGTCTAGGTCACAGGCAAGTGGGCAGCAGAGCCATGGTGCAGACCCCACTTTCAACTTTGCTCACAGATGCCCATAGCTCTGTGGGCCTGGAGAAGTGCATGGAAGGGGGAGGCGGAAGCTGGGGAGCTTCCTGGAGGAGGTGGTGGGAGGTGGCCTGGGGGCTAAGCTCCATGCAGTTCAGGGGCTGGAGAAACCAGGCAGAGTCAAGAATGCCCCAAGCGGCCACTACTCACCACCTCACGTCCTCCCATGAGGGTCTCCGTGCTCTCCACCCCACATCCTCCCATGAGGGTCCTGGTGCTCTCCACCCCACGTCCTCACCTAGGAGTCCTGGTGCTCTCCACCCCACGTCCTCCCCATGGGGGTCCTGGTGCCCTCCACCCCACGTCCTCCCTGAGGGTCCCAGTGCTCTCCACCCCACGTCCTCCCCTAGGGGTCCCAGTGCTCTCCACCGCACGTCCTCCCAACAGGGTCCCGGTGCTCTCCACCCCACGTCCGCCCATGAGGGTCCCGGTGCTCTCCACCCCACGTCCGCCCATGAGGGTCCCGGTGCTCTCCACCCCACGTCCGCCCATGAGGGTCCCGGTGCTCTCCACCCACGTCCTCCCATGAGGGTCCTGCTGCCCTCCACCCCACATCCTCCCTGAGGGTCCCGGTGCTCTCCACCCCACATCCTCCCATCAGGGTCCCGGTGCTCTCCACCCCACGTCCTCCCATCAGGGTCCCAGTGCTCTCCACCCCACGTCCTCCCCTAGGGGTCCCAGTGCTCTCCACCCCACGTCCTCCCCGAGGCGTCTCCATGCTCTCCACCCCACATCCTCCCCGAGGCGTCTCCGTGCTCTCCACCCCACGTCCTCCCATGAGGGTCTCCGTGCTCTCCACCCCACGTCCTCCCATGAGGGTCTCCGTGCTCTCCACCCCACATCCTCCCCGAGGGGGTCCTGGTGCTCACCATCTCCAGGTTCTCCCGCGTGAGGTTCTTGATCTTCTCCTCCATCCGCTGTATGCTGTGCAGCAGGTCCTCGTTCTTCTTGCTCACCCGCTTGTTCTTCTCCACGAGCGGCTTCAGCTGGACCTCCGTCTCGCGATTGCGCTTCAGCTGCAGTGGAAAAAGACACAGAGGCCTGGTGCCTCGGGCTGGAGTCCCAGCCACAGGACCACAGTCCCAGGGGGTACAAACAAAAAGAGCTTGCACACACCCAGCTTCCAGACACGTGACCACAGAGTGCCTCGGAAGAAAGGCCTGGTGATCTGCTTCCAAAAAATCAGCCACTGAAAACCCCTGGAGCACAGCTCTACTCTGACACATGTGGGGTCACCATGAGTCGGAGTCGACTCAACGACTGGCTTGTTTTTTTTAAGGACAACCCAAACTGTAAACAGCAGTTCCAGCATGATCCTAGGATTCAAGGGCTGGCAAATCAATCGATTGTTACTGTAAACACGTCTGTCTTGCTGAAGTGTTTCAGTCAGCCTGTATTTTTTTTTCCTAGTCCACTCACTAAGCTATTATGCAGCTCATGAGTATTTTTTTAGCTCATGAATATGTGAGTAGAAAGTGGAGACATAACATTTGATGCATATAGTCTGATTGAAGCTATATAAAAACGTGGCTACAGAAAGCCTGGAGGCAAATGAGTTTATTCCATCCTGCTAAACCTGCGACGTGAGAGGTGACACTTCGTAGCATTTTTCACCCCATGTTTTCACATGCTCTGTAGACATATGTACTTTCATAATAAAAATTAGAATAAACAGAAGAAATACGAGGTACTGATCAAGAAATGTATGTACTGACTACCACTATGTAAAAATTAGGTTAGCTGTTTATATAAGCAATTTAACCAGATTCAAGAAGCTGCTATTTTTACTAAAGCTTTATTTTTAAACAGATGTCCATGTTCGTTATTTCTTTTATTAAAAACATATAAAGTTTTATGGAAAAGAAAACAAATAGATTAGCAAAAAACAAAAATTATAAATAATCACCCTACCAAAGAGAACAATGTCTAATACCCAGGATGATGACAGTGTATTTCTATTGTGCAAACTGCTTTTATGACTTCATTCACTGAATAAATTTCTCTGCCAGTTAAACACGGTCTACACCAGCATTCTTAATGACTGGACAGAATTCGCTGTGCAAATATCCCGTAACGACCTCAGCCAGTGCTCCAGCGTTGAACCACTGGGTTTTCAGAGGTTTGCTGTTATAAACAACACAGCAATGAACATCCTCTCCAGACTTCTCACTAAGCTTGTTCAATTGCTTGCTCAGGATAAACTCCTGCAGACACGAAGGGCAGGAACGAGCTTCTCTGTGAGCGGGTGTTAGATTTTTAATCAGAGAGAAATTAGGAAGAAAGTAGAGAAGCTGGGAGCCTGAGGGTTAACTCCCCGTGTGAAGCATGTCTTGCTGCCCGGGCCCTTCCTGTGTCTACGAGGCGGTGCCATCTGTCTCAGGGGCGGATTTACCAGCTCGTTCCTCTCATCGGCCAAGAGGGTATTTCTGTCTTCCAGCTTCCGTATCACTGAATTCAGCTCAGCAATTTTTAGTTGAAATCGCCTCACATCTCGTTCGTCCATATGTGGATCCTAAACAGAGTTGAGACACAAATGTACTTGTAAGAAGCAGGTCTCAAAACTACCTTGAAAAAGCGTCAATGATTCAAACACTCCAGAGACTTTCTTAGAAAATTCACATGATGACATGTAGGTGAGGACCCTACACCGTGCGACCCCCTGAAGCTAAGGAATGTGGACGATACCCCAAAGCCCTGGCAGACACGATGAACGACTTTATATCAAAGGTGATGGGCACTTCAGACCCTTCAGAGCTCCCTAACATCTCAAAATAGCCCGTGAGGACCTTCACAATGGATTCCTGCCCCTCTCCATCTCCTGACCCCAGGACAAACTAGAACATTCCTCCAGGGCAGGGACTGTGTCCACCTTGCTCTCTGCTGAAAGGCCGCACCCAACACAGTGTCCACACAGCAGTCACTCACTCCAGCATTTACTGAATGAATGGCAGAATGAATTAATGCTGCTTCAGCCCCTCTGTGTGTTTGCTAAGCTCCAAGCTGCTGCCCAGAATGCCCCTCCCTTGTCTGCTGGTGAGCTTCTGCTCATCCTGCAAACTCCGACTTGGAGTCATTCCCCTTATTGACTGGGTCCTTTCTGGACTCAGACTGTACCCACACTGATGTCTTCGTCTCTCTTCTCGACTGAGCACTGAGAGCCCCGAAGGCAAGGACAGCCAGTTTCTCATCTTTATTCTCAGAGCCCAGCGTGGGCCTGGCATGCAGTTAGCAGTAACTCAATTTGGGAAGGAAGGGATAAGGGAGGGAGGGAAGGACTGATGGATGGAGGAAGGAAAGGAGGGAGGGAGGGAAGAACTGATGGCCTGATGGAAGAGTGGATAGAAGGGAGGGAGAGTGGGGTTCAGAAAGAGGAGGATGGGTGAGGGGAAGCTGGAAGGCCAGCGAGTTGGTTGGAGGAACCAGGGCAGAGGTGGGCTGGGTGCGTGGGCTGTGGTCAGTTTGAGCACTATGGTGCCCAGCTCCCACCTGACCACCCATGAGCTCTGCCATGTCTCCGATGCCTGGCGGCAGCTCCTTCTTGGGGCTGCCGTGGTGCCGCTCGGCCTCCTTGACCTGGACCAGCTGCTCATCCAGCGCCTCCTTCTGGAGCAGCAGCTTCTGGGTCTGGCCCGTCTGCACACCCAGCTCCTTCTCCAGGGCCAGGATCACACGGTCTTTTCCTTTGATCTCGTCCATCTGGAGATGAGAAAGAGCACAGTCAACCCCAGGGCTCACGGCCGGGAAAAGGTGAAGGCCGCCCCTAGGCCATGTCCACCAAGCTCGGCACACTTGGGTCAGGACCACAGCGGACGAGACCAGCTGGCCCTCACGCTCACTCAGCATGGAGGTCTCAGTGGAGGTACTAGAGCCAGCACTCTGGGTTCAACCAGGTCTTGCCCTTTGAAAACCTGCTCAGGCCCCCACACCTTGTTATAGGTGAGTCGATCCCTCACACCTTATCGAAATAACATGGATGCTGACCCTGCTGCCCTCCAGCCACCGTCCTTCCAGCCCCCTTGCAGCAAAGCTTCCTACAGGGTTGGTGGTTCTCCTCTCCATTTCCACAGCCGCAGCCCCCCGGGGGACACAGCCCCACCCAGCACCAAGAAGCTCTGGCAAATTCCCCTTGCTGCCAAAGCCTGTGGGCCTATCCCTGCCCTCCCGTCCTCGACATCGTCCCCAGCCTCTGGCATTGACCACCCGTGTCAACTATCTCTCTTGGTTCAAGGTACTAGGGTCCAGTTGCACCCCCCCGCCACCGCCACCTACGACTTCTCAGTCTCTACCTTCCTCAGAGCCTTGTCTGCTCTGGCCACCGTGAAAGTTGGCGTCCCCAAGCCCTGGCCCTCTTCTCACTCTGTCTCCTTACTGGTGCCCCCCACGTCCTTGTCCCTGTGCTTCCTCCCCCCATCCTCACCCATGCCCTGGCTCCCCTCCCCCACCCTCACCATGTTGTCTTGCCCCCACATCATAGCCATGTGCTGGCTCCCCTTCTCACATCCTCACCCATGTTCTATCTCCACCTCACCACATCCTCACCCATGGGCTGGCTCCCCCCACACCACGTCCTCACCCAAGTTCTGTCTCTCCCCCCAACCATGTCCTCACCCATGCACTGATTCCTCCCTCACCTCCTCACCCATGCATGGACACCCCCCATCCTCATCCATGTTCCATCTCCCCCCACCACATCCTTGTCCATGCGGTGGCTCCCCTCCCCGCCACCACGTCCTCACCCACGGGCTGGCTTCCCCACCTGCAGCAGACACATTGATGTCCCCCAACCCTGACTTCCCCGAGATCCAAACTCACAGAACCAACTGGTTGCTTGAATTTCTCCTCAGACCTCCAAGGACCTAGGCCTCTACACGTGTGACCCTGAACCTACCCACACTCGTCCCGCCTGGTCCCAGCATCCCTGGAGACAGTGTCCGACAGAGGACATGCCTGAGCAAAGGCGGCCCAGTGACCACAGGGTGGCCGAGCTGAGAGAGTTCACCGAGGCCGCCTCCACCCCGGGTGTCCACCTCAACTCCATCTGACACAAGCCAACAGTTAGGAAATCCCCCAGTAAGAGATGCCCCAGGCACCAGAGTCTCATTTATTGATAGAAATCAAACAGCTCCAGCTACGGCGCCTCTGCTTCCATGTATCATCCCAGGATTTGGGAATAAATTCTATGTGAGAGGAGTACCTGAGAAGGCCCTGGGAATAACAAGAGCCTTTAGCAAGGGCTGCTTCCACAAAACCCTGGGGACAAGGTTCACACGCCGCCATGCGGCATTCATCACTCACACATACCTGAGTGCCCCGGTACACGCTATCACATAAGGCGACGTATGTCCATGCTACTGTGATGGCTAATTTCACGGTCATCTCAGTTTGGCTCAGCTACAGTGCCTAGTCGTTTGGTCAAACACTCGTCTAGATGTGGCTATCAAGGTACTTACATGTGGTTAACATTTAAATCCACCACCTGTCTGTCAGTCTGTCCTACTGTGCAGGCTTGCATGTTGCTGTGATGCTGGAAGCTGTGCCACCAGTATTTTAAATACCAGCAGGGTCACCCATGGTAGACAGGTTTCTATGGAGCTGGAAAGACTAAGACTAGGAAGAAAGGCCTGGCAATCTGCTTCAGAAAATTAGCCAATGAAAACTATACAGAGCACAACAGAACATTGTTCAGCTCGCTTGCTTTGGACATCAGGAGGGATCAATCGCTAAGGAGGACATCCTGTTTGGTGAAGTAGAAGGCCAGCAAGGGTGAGGGAACCCTCGGTGAGACGGATTGGTGCAAGAGGCACAATGACGGACTTGAACATGGTGGTGATCATGAGGATGACATAGGATAGGGCAACAATTCGTTCTGTTGAACACAGGTCACCAGGAGTCACAGTAACCTTGACGGCAGCTAACACCAAACATTTAAATCAGTTCACTTAAGTGAAGCAGATCACCCTCCATAATGTGAGTAGACCTCACCCGCCAGCCAAAAGCCTTCGGAGCAAAAACTAAGGTTCCCAGAGGGAAGACGATTCTGCCTCAAGACATATACAGACATCCTGCCAGAGTTGCCAGCCCACTGTCTGTCTTACAGATTTCCAACTTGCCAGCCCCACGATCATGTGAGCCAGTTCCTCAGAATAATCAAAATAATTCCCTTTCTCTCTTCCCTCTCTCTGTCTCCCTGTCTCTCTCTGTCTATCCCTGTCTCTCCCTCCCTCCCTCTCCCGTTCCCTCTCTCTCCCCTCCCCTCTCTCTCTCCTTCCCTCTCTCCTTCCCTCTCTCTCTCTCCTTCCCTCTCTCTCTCCCCTTCCTGCTCTCCCCCACTCCTTCCCTCTCTCTCTCCTTCCCGCTCTCTCCCTCTCTCTCTCTCCCTCTCTCTCTCCCTCTCCCTCTCTCCTTCCCTCTCTCTCTCTCCGCTTCCCCCTCTCTCCCTCTCTCTCTCCCTCCCTCTCTCCTTCCCTCTCTCCCTCTCTCTCTCTGCTTCCCTCTCTCTCCCCTTCCCACTCTCTCTCTCTCCCTCTCTCTCTCCTTCCCTCTCTCTCTCTCCTTCCCGCTCTCTCCCCCTCTCCCTCTCTCTTTCCTTCCCTCTCTCCCCCCTTCCCCCTCTCTCCCTCTCCCTCTCTTTCTCTCCCCCTCCCTCTCTCCTTCCCTCTCTCTCTCCCCTTCCCACTCTCTCCCTCTCTCTCTCTCCTTCCCGCTCTCTCTCTCTCTCCTTCCCTCTCTCTCTCTCCTTCCCTCTCTCTCTCCCCCAACTCTATGTTTCTCTGGAGAACCCTAAGACAGAGGCCTTGACTACCCTATATAAAACTTAAACCCACTTGATAGTAACCAGTGGGGGATGCAGGGGGAGCCCATCAAGGCTGGGACCCCAAAACCACACAGCCTCTGGGAAGTCACCTGACCTCTCCACACCTATGGTCCTCACATGTGAAACAGGGACACAGGAATATCCACGGCAAGGGGGCTGTCAAGGGACAGAATAGAGGAGACGCGTCTGGAGAGGCCAGGTTTCCTCACCTGTGAAACGGAGATGATGCCAGGGCCTAACACAGGGTTGTTGTGAGGGCTGAAGACTTCAACACGCGAGAGGGCGCTCAGTGAATGTTAGCTAGAGTTATAATGGTCACATGGCACATAGGAGGTCTCTCCTAAGACTCTGTCTCCTGTAGGCATTCAAATATTGAGTGGCTGGCTGAATGAATGAATGAATGAATGCTGTCATGGGTTGAATGACGGTCCCCAAAAAGCTATGTCCATGTCCCACACCCCAGGACCTGCGTGTGGCCTGATCTGGAAGACAGGGTCTCTGTAGATGTGATTACCTTAAGAGCTCATCCTAGATTAGGCCTAGATTAGGGTGGGTTACCTTAAGAGCTCATCCTAGATTAGGGTGGGTTACCTTAAGAGCTCATCCTAGATTAGGGTGGGTTACCTTAAGAGCTCATCCTAGATTAGGGTGGGTTAAATCCAATGACACATGTCCTTAGAAGAGACACAGGGAGACAGAGGCAGGGGAGGTGGCCACGTGAAGACGGAGAAGATTGGAGTGACGCAGCCACAAGCCCAGGGATGCCTGGGGCCACCAGAGGCTGGGAGAGACAAGGAAGGATCCTCCCCTAGAGCCTCTGGAGGGAGCGTGGGACTGACCCAAGGAACAAGACCAGAAACCGCTTGCTGTTGATTGTCACTGCCCTTTCTTCCGGACTTATTTCAGAGGCGAGTTTAATGTGTGAGAGGGAGTCTGAAGGCCTTCTTGCTCTTGCTAATCCAATCCAGCTGAGGAGGAAATGAAGCAGCAATGCTTTCCAGACGCATTGCCATGGGCAACAGACTTGCCTGCAGAGGGACTTTTATCAAATGGGATCACAGGATGACGACATTCACTCTTCGGATGCTCTGCTAAGTGGACTGTTGTAGGTGAAAGCCACACACAACCGAGAATACTGTACTGGGGGCACTCGCGTTTTGCACCAAAGTGGAAACAGAGCCTTTCGGACACTGAATTCTCAGTACGTTTTAAATTCAGCCCAAGCAACCTCTTGTGTGATACTTCGGTTTCCCCATCTTATTTCCCTTAAATATAAATGCTGCCTATACCAGGGGGACGTATTTTACATCTATCACAGAAAGTATACTCTGTTCCTGAATGCTTCAGCTCACTAAACCTCGCAACCCTGGGGCAGATATGTGATTATCCTTATTTTACAGATGAGGCAACACTCAGAGACAGCAAGCAACTGGCCCGGGGCCACACAGCTAACAAGTGCTGGGATCTGGACTCACTCCAGAGCAGACCATCTCCAAAGTCATGTCTTCCTGTTACGGGATAATTTCTCCCCAGAACACACATACCACACCACACATCACACACACCACACCACACACACACTACACCACACACACACCACACACCACAGACACATCACACCCATACCACACACCACACGTTACACACACCACACTCCACACCACACACACCACGCCACACACACCACACCATACAGATACCACACACACACCACACACACACTGCACACCACACTGCACCCATACCACACAACACATCACACAATACACATACCACACATATACTACACACACCACACCACACACACCACACCATACAGATACCACACACACCACATACACCACACACACATCACACCATACACCACACACATACCACACCA